CAGTAAAGATTTATACCCAAACGAAGGGCTGAGACTACAGAATATCCCCAATGCAGAAAAAAACTCATATACACACACACACACACACACACATGCACAAACACACACATGGTACACACACTTTCATAGAACACATTGTAATATTTTTCATGTTTCTGCTGGGATATGACTGTTATTTTTCCATTTTTTTTTTACTTAACACAATTAGATTTGAGTGATGTGATGGAGACCAATGAGTTTATATCATATTTATATTTAAAAAAATATGTTATACATTTATTTCATATTTATGAAATTGTATGAATATACATATGTTTAGGTTATAATTCAGTTAGAATTTTTTACAAAATATGGATTTTGTAATATTTCAATATATATTTGAATCCATAAACAACCAAATTGAAGCCTCAAAATTATCTAATTTCTCATGTTTCACTTATTTTGCTCAGTTAAAAATCTCCATAGGATACTATAGGCCCCTCTAGTGGCTGTAACCATAAAATGCAAAATTATGTCATTTTTCCCCACCAGATGGCACCAGAGACACACAGTGACTCAATTCCAAGGCCATCTGTTGTTTTTTTGATGAAACATGTCTTTATTTGTTTTGTTTTTTGGTGAAGTAATGTACAAAAACTGCTTATTTGCTTATATTTTCTTTAAAATATCCAGAAAAAAAGGTAAATATAATAAAAATCACCAACAAATAATAGAAAAACCTACATAAATATTTAGAAAATAATTATAAAAATGGATCGATATAAGATTTCTGGACCAAAAAAATGTTTTAGCCTTTGGGTCATTTTGAACAAAATATGGATTTTGTAATGTTTCAATATATATTTTAATCAATAAACAACCAAATTGAAGCCTTAAGATCATCTAATTTCTCATGTTTCACTTGTTTTGCTCTGTTAAAAATCTCCATAGGGTTCTACAGGCCCCTCTAGTGACTGTAACCATAAAATGCAATTTTATGTAATTTTACCCCACCAAATGGTATCAGAGACACTGTTGGTTTTTGATGAAACAGAACTAAAATTGTGTCTTTCTTTGTTTTTTGTTTTGGTGAAATAATGTACAAAAACTGCTTATTTGCTTATGTTTTCTTAAAAATATCCAGAATAAAAGGTAAATATGATAAAAATCACCAAAAAATAATAGAAAACCTACATAAAATATTTGAAAAAAAAAGGAAAAATGTTCCAATATAAGCTTTCTGGACCAAAAATAAAATTTGTGTCATTTTTGGCCTTCGGCTCATTTTGACCCGCAAGGGACACTTTTGTTATAGGTTCGGGAGGGACGGATGAGGTTAATCTATATTATGAACTAATTATCTATTGTTGATGTCCAGACATTTGGCAGTAAGAACCTTAAGCGTGTGGGGGAGATTCTCCAGAGAAGCATTCTCATCCTCTTACTCTTCTGCCTGCCATGCTGGGCCATACTCATCAATGCTGAGTCAATACTACTCACCCTGAAGCAAGAGCCAGAGGTGACCAGGTCAGACTGATCCAGTACTAGATTATTAGTTCAGTTCAGAACTTTTAGCATGGAAACTATTACCAGTGTAACATCTTTTTTTTTTCATGTAGATATGTGATTATATTTGTTGTAGTGAAAGCAGTGTGTTGTGCCAAAATAACAGAATATCAGTATCTGTCTTTAAAAAAAAAAAAAACAGCAGTTCAAATTCTGAGGGAATTAAAGCTTCTGAGAAGTATAAAGAAAGTGGAAACATTTTTTTTTCTATCTCTGAGCTGTAGGTCTGTGGAAACGAGTCCAGATAATTTAAAATAAATTAGTTTATGACCTACATAGGTCTGCATATGACCTATACGTTTATATAATTGAGGAATGTAGTATTAGTTGGGTAGTTTTTGCTTCACTTCAATGAAATGAGATAACCAAGGATTTTTTTTGGCTTATTTTTTAACATACACATTTTCAATCCTAAAGTTGCATGCCGTAATTTTAATTTTTTAAAATTTTTTTAATGATAAGCCAGAGATGACACCATGATTTGAAATTAGATTAAACGATTTGTGTTTAAAAAAAGAAGTGTGAAGTGGCACCTATGTATCCAAATTAATTTCATATTAGAAAATAAAGCACATTTAAGTACATGATTGTAATACTAAAGTTACTTTTTTCCAACAAGGGATATCATGGTCTCACCAAAAAAACAAACAAAAAAATTGATTTGTGCCTTTAATGCTTAAAAAACGTAATAGGACACCAAATTCTATCATATTTATGGAGAGTTTTTTTTGGGTGTCACGCTGTTCAAAGACTGTTATGCTCCTTTTTCAGGATTGCACAGCTGTATGTTATGGCTTTCCTCCCTGCTGTTCCTGTAAGTATAACAACATGTTTTTACAAAAATAACACAACAGTGGTTGCGCTTTCATCTCTGTGTTGGCCTTGTTTTTTAGAGTATAATTTCAAATGTTTCCTAGTGCTGACAATTTTTTGGTCATTGACCAAAATGTTTCCTGTCAAATTGTTTATTATGTTCAAGACGCAAATTTTAAACAGCCTAACCACACATACAGTCAGTGTCACAAGCTTTCCTACTGCTGACAGTACTGATGTCTTTTACTGTCCATCCTTCAATTTCTTAGGCCATGTTTCTGCACCATCTGCAGGTGTCTTATCTGCAAAACCAGGTACAACCTTTTAGTAAGCTCAAGATGCTGCACTGGACAGAAGACAGCAAAAGACATGTAAACTCAACAAATAATGTATTGCCATGTTTCAGGGCATCATCCTGCCACAGATGTACACAGCAGTTGCTGCCAACATTTTAAATGTAGCAACAAACTACATCCTTCTTCACTCAATGAAACTGGGAGTGATGTATGTATGATTACTGCTAATTTTATCAATACTAAACAGCAATACATGCACTATAGATTAGTGATGGCCATAAGCCAGGAAATGAATGATCTTTAGTATAAGCAGGTGCTTGTGTCTCTGCAGGGGCTCTGCCGCAGCCAACAGTATCTCACAGATCTCCATCTGCCTCTTTCTGTTTGCTTACATACGCTGGAAAAAGCTGCATGTGAACACATGGGGTGGTGAGGAATATATGGAAAGCGGCACACAGAGAGACACTCATGTTTGCTTTTATGTCATTATGGGGTCACTGACTTATACAATTTTTACATTAAGCCAATTATAATTATTATACCCTAAAAGGGATTAATTTTTAATGGCTGTGAGTTAAAGAGATGTTACCAATGCAGAAAAGTTAGAGAAGCTACAATGTATGAGCAGCAATGTATGCGGAGACTACCAGTGGGAGTGCAGACAGTGATGCCTCATCTGAATTATCTCCTGTTTCAGAATAGGGTCTAACCCAGCACAATGGGAAAGACCAGTGAGGTAAGTTCATGTTGATTGGCTGAAGGCATGTCATTTGAAACACTGGAAAAGATAGACCAAAACCAAAGTCCAGGCACTTCTCAACTTTTATGCTATGGAGGAAATTCAATGCGGCTTTGAAGGTTCTTTTCTTGGTCTTTTTGAAAAGTAAAACTGCAAGTTGTCTGTCATAAGTGACTCTCAAGAAATTACCCCACATTAGTCGCCACCTACTGGTGTGATGAATAACCTACAAAAATAGGCTCCAAAAGAATCTGTCAACAAATCTATTTTGGTGAATTGTGATTAAAAAATAAATAAAAATCCCACCCCTAGCTGATAATAGGCACAGTTTGAATCATATCATGCCCAGAGATGTCATGGCCTTCAATAAAGTCGATTTGCCTGAGTGAAATCTTCTCCACAGGTCCAAAGGACTCTCAGTGCCTCAGAATCAAACAATCAATTTAGCTTGGGATCGACTCCCAGCCCGCGGAAGACTTACTAGCAGCAAACAGCAGAGAGACTGTCAGTAATTTAATCTATCACTATGAATTCCTACTTGTCATGGACACCAATTGGCATTTTTCCAGTGAAAGAAAATACTTTGTTTTTTATTTGTGAGGCTGTTTTCCCAAATGTCCAAATCCAAAATCTGTTAGATTTTGATCTGTTCACAATGACCACTGTGAATAGGAAAACATGAAAAAAACATATAGATAACAAACGCAATTATTCTGCATAGCTAGTCAATCAATAATGACAAGAGATATGTATACTGTATGAACATGACTGCTGTTATAAAAGAAAGTGTGTGTTTGTCTTTGTCGCCCCCTACAGGCTGGTCTACTGCAGCACTGCAGGAGTGGGGGTCTTACATGAAACTGGCTATTCCTAGCACTCTCATGCTCTGTTTTGAGTGGTGGGTCTATGAGATCGGAGGTTTCCTTGCAGGTGTGTAGATGTGTGAAGGAGGTTTCACACATCTGTGTCGTCATGTGTTGTCTTATATTTCAGATTTACCGTAACAGTCAGAAAAAAATATTATTCGAAATGAAATGGATAAAATATTGATTGATTTAGTCAAGTATCATATTTTGATACATCATGCTTTTATGGCCGCATGTATGATATGGGAGAATATAGAGCTCATACACAGTGGAAAAAAAAGAAAAACCCTCTGTTTTATTCAGAGACCCAAAATGATCAAAGTTATGCCATTTGGTACTGATATTTATGACCAAAAAGTTAAATGAAATTTTAATGTAATGTAATGTAAATCAATTAGATCTTTTTAACTATAATCAAGTAAACCTAATTTGTTTGAATCCATTCTGAAATATTTCTAACAATATGAAAGTTATTATTATATTTACTTATTAAAATACGTAAGGATTTCACAGCAAAAAGACATGTGTACCACAACCTGAAGGTGGGCATTTATACAATTATACTAAAACGTGTTAACAAAAGTGTAAATTATCAATCAGACGACAGAAGACTGTATAGAAGACTGTGTATAACAGGTTTTGAACAATTTGAGGCTTTAGACATTTCCATATCAAATATAATACAGTAGGGTTTATAGGGTTAACATATTCCCATTGGTCTTCAACCAAAGTCCCTCTGCAATCATGTGAAATACCTGGCAGTCAATTTTTCGTGAATCTTTTTTTTCCCCCTCCCAGGTGGAAATTGTAATGAGCACAATTGTTTTGCAGTTGTTTTATAAATAATCCCATGAATTGCCTAACTGAGTTGTGCAATGCCACAATCAGACAAAAATCAGAGACATCCAACACATAATTAAATAACATCCATTCATCCTTTAATTCTTTCCCCCTGATGATTGCAGGAATGCTGGGGGAGGTGGATCTTGCTGCTCAACATGTGTTGCTGGAGGTGGGGGCCATTACATACATGGTAAGACAGTGTTATTTAACGTTACACTCACAATAAGAGACTTATTAAATTGGGTTAAACTGCCATTGCTAGCAGGGTTTGTCATTGCTGCCAAATGGCAAATATATTGAAACAAAAAGTATTAAACATCATTCTGAAAGTGATTCCAGTAATATAATATTCCTGTCATTAGTATTAGTTGAGGTGTGGACTTACCTATTCTCATAGAATTAGAAAAAAAAACTTCATAATTATTATTTTTTTTATAGTTATCATCCTTGATGTGAAAGACCTTTAATTATCAATACTGAAGAAAAGGGGGAGGTGATTTGAGATCTTTTTAAGGACTCAATGTCTAAGCTTCTGCCAGCTGAGGCAGAAGTCTCTGTAACAAAGCTTTTCCTGCGATTTTGACATGGATACACCTTTTGTTACTGTTAGGGTTCAAAGATTCACTTCAGTTGTTTGTAATGCTCCAAAACAACACCTTTATCGCTACCTACTGGTCTAATGTGGTAACCTTCAAAAATAGTCAGCAACAGATGTTTTACAAACAAATTATCCTGTTAAATTCTATTTGTTAAATTAAATTAGTGTGAATATTTGCTTGTTTTAATAACAAGATTTTATGTTTAGTTTCCATTAGGTGTGCACGCGGCCGCTTGTGTGCGTGTGGGAAATGCGCTGGGAGCTGGAGACACTAACAGGGCCCTGATCACTAGTAAAGTGACTCTTATGATCTCAGGTCAGTAGAATATAGAAATGCACAGTGCTAACAATAAAGTTTAGTAATTAATATATAACTTATAATAAGTATCCAGAAGGAAAGATCATTTAAACCTTTACTGCATTGCAGGAGTTTTGGCTGTTTTACAGGGAATCATGATGGGTTTCTCAAAGTCAGTAGTGGGATACATCTTCACTTCTGATGAGTATGTTTGTTTCTCTCATAACATACACGCATTATTGAGTTATGATGAAACTAGGATTATTATAGATGAAGTAATATCATGATCATTTTCATCGTAAAATATATATAAGAATCAGGAGAACAAATAAATCACTGCTAATTATAGCAATGAGAGTGAAGCTTTTCTTTTGTTGTTTTGCAGTTCTCACTTCTTGATTTAATCTAACAGGAGCATAGTGAAAATTGTCTCGGAAATCCTCACCCTGTACGTTTTCCTGCAGTTTTTTGATGCTCTCGTGGTAAGTTTGAATTGTTTAATTCAAAGGAAGGCAACACAAATTAATCAACCTTTAAAGATACAGATATTCTTTATGATTGAGCTGAAGGTCATATACTGTAACTAGCATTATGTTATCTTCTGTCTTTCATCATTACAGTATCAATGAGTGATAATGTCACAAGATGTTATCAGTTAAAATGCTTTTACTAGGGATTTCTTGTGATGTCATGAAACCTGGTTTTGTGAAATTATGTAATTCACTGATTACTCTGAAGTCTGTATAGTGCATATCGCTACAACAGACCAGTTTGTCTTGTGTTTTAGTGTGTGTGTTCAGGGATTCTTCTGGGTGCTGGGAAGCAGAAGATAGCAGCACTGTCCAACTTGATCTGTTACTACTGCATTGGGTTACCAGTAGGAATATCACTGATGTTTCTGGCCGAGCTCAGGATACTTGGTACCATCTCTTCATTCCTATTTTCCTAACTTATCAGAAATTCAGCTGTTTCAAAGGAGCTAAAATAAGTGAAAAAAAGAAAGAAAAAAAGAATGTCAAGTCAACCCAGATCTTTAATTCCATTCAGATATCTGGCATCCCAGTTTTGCCCTGCAATTTAGTTATAAATCTTTTCATTCTCCAAACCGAACCAAAGTTAATACTTTTATTCAGTAAGGATGCATTAAATTTGATACAAAAAGTAACAGTAAAGACTATATAATTTTTCAAAAGATGTCTCTTCATTCATCAAAGAATTCTAAAAATAATAAATAGTAACTAAATGAATAAATAAATATTTTGTGAATAAAAAACAAAACAAAACAAAAAACATATTTTTATGTTTTCAACATTGATACTAATAATAAATCATTTTCAGCATCAAATCATGATTTCTGAAGGATTATGTGACACGGAAAACTGGAATAATAACTGATGAAATTTCAGCTTTGCCATCAAATAAATAAATTACATTTTGAAATACATTAGAATAGAAAAAAATATTTTAAACTGTAATAATAATTCACAGTATTACTGTTTTAATGTTGCTTGGTGAACAAAAGAGACATCTTTCAAAAACATTCAAACATCTTACCAACCCCAAACTTCTAAACACCAATCCACACTAACAAAACACTAATCTAACAAATTCAGTCAACCAAATTTATACTACTACTACTACTACTACTACTACTACTACTACTACTAGTCATCAAAATACTACTACTAGTCATCAAAACTATAAAACAGGCAATATGTATGTTTTTGTATAAAACTAATTTCAATACATAACCTGAACACATCAAGACTTGTTATTGTTAGTGATTCAGGTCTCTAGTCATATAGCATCTTTTCTCCTCCAAACCAGCCATGTAATAAAATTCTGAGAGTGTTTGCTTCCCATGACCTGTTCTAAACTTGAAACTCGTCCCATTTTGATTTCCCACTCATTCAGGTCTATGGCTTGGCCTCTTGATTTGTGTCATAATTCAGACCTGTTTCTTCACCACTCTCATCTTTAAGCTCAACTGGAAGAAAGTAACAGAGCAGGTAAGACATAACAAATCAAACCTGCGTGGTCAGGTTAAGCTACCATTATGTAAGGGTGTCGAAAGTGATAATGTTGTCTAATGTCTTCCTTAGGCTCAGAAACGTGCAGGCAAACATGCAAAGGTAGTGTGTGTTCAAAAGGCACCATCGATAGGACAGTCAGTCCTTGATACGCTCGTTTCTGAAGGGCAGAACAACGATGAGCAAACACCTGATACTGGAGCTTCAGCAAGTATCCCTGAACCTTGGGATGACATAACTGGAAACAAAGTAAGTGCTACAGTAATCCCAGCATCCAGGGTTTCCCAAACTGGGGTTTTGGAGGAACTGAAGAGGGTTCATGATTTGATGAAATGATAATAACAAATTATATAAATGATATTACAAAATGTATCAAATAAAAGCCTGAGATTTGATTAAATTATGCTATGTTTCAAAGCAAAGCAACACTGTGTTCACATCTCATACATTTGGGAACATAACATTCAATTTATTTATACATACAGCATTTCAGCAGTGTTCTACCAAAATAAAAGCTTGAGGATTTTGAATGTTTAAAGTTTGAGGGTTTGGACGTTTGAAAGTGAAGAATTTAAGTCATAAATATTCGTATTGTAACTTGTAAAGCAACATTATTATAATGAACAAATATTAATTAATATTTTCCAGTACAATTGGAATTTACAGAAGGAATGTATTGCTGTCTTCATTTCTGTAATTAGAGTTGAAACTTTTTATCTATTTACTTGCATGTCGAGCAACAAATAGCCAACATCAGAGAACCATAAACATGCAAATGTGTTGTTAAATTACTAATATATATATATATATATATATATATAAAAAATAGTTCACCCAAAAGTGAAAATTTGCTGAAAATGTCCTCACCCTCAGGCTATCCAAGAGGTAGATTACAATTTAGCATTACATCACTTGCTCACCAATAGATCCTCTGCAGTGAATGGGTGCCATCAGAATGACAGTTCAAACAGCTGATTAATCACAAAAATTCACAACACGACTCCATTAGTCTTTAAGTTAAGGTCTTGTGAGGTGAAAAACTGTGTTTGTAATAAACAAATCCATCAAGACAGTTTTAACTTCAAATTGCTGCATCTAGCTTAAATGTGAGTCCTCTATCCATAAATACTTCCGTTTTAGGACCATGTGATATTTCAGTTTTTCTTTTTTAATAAATCTGCAAAAATTTCAACAATTCTGTGTTTTTCTGTCAATATGGGGTGCTGTGTGTACATTAATGAGGAAAAAAAATTAACTTAAATGATTTTAGCAAATGGCTGCAATATAACAAAGAGTGAAAAATGTAAGGGGGTCTGAATACTTTCCGTACCCACTGTATATATATATATATATATATATATATTCACATATTTTTACTAGTCAGGTCCGGAAGTACTCAGACACTGACTGAGTTTTTGTTGCCTTTATACACCGCTACAAAGGATTTGAAATACAACAGCCAAAATGTGACTGTAGGGCAGACTTTTAGCTTTATTTTAAGAGGTTCCACAAAAATATGACATTTACCATTTAGGAGTTACAGCCATTTTAAGCAAAGTACCTCCATTTTCAGTGGCTCAATAGTATTGTGTTCTTCCTTTGTTATCTTGAAACAGTGTGGCAATGTTTTATTGAGCACATTATATAATCTGTTACCTCAACAACATCCTCAAAATGTTGCAGATAAAATGTTCTAGCTTTGTTAATACGTCACATTACAAGAAAGTTTTATAAAAAATATTCCATCACCTCTGGCCTCAATGATGTTCTTATAACGTTCTCCTAATGTGGCAGAGAGAATGTTCTAACAAATATCTTAAAGAAAGTCACAAACATATAACCAAGAACCAAAATTAACTCTTGGTAAGTGCAAAATGTGTGCAAAAATTTACTTTGAGTAAATAAAACTTGTTGGTGGATATTTGCCTGGTAATTTGTTTTAATAAGCATAACATAAAACACTATAATTACTGTAGTTTATAGGAAGCTAGAAATCGTTTTATTGTCGTAACTCAAGGACTCCATGTAGCATCACACTATAATAAAATAATATTAATATTTTGGCAGAAGGATGAAGTAACATTAATTGTGCTCATCTGAGAATTCTAATGAGCACCTCATTTAACACAATCCCTCCAGCTAATATAAGCAGCATGAAGAAGACAGCAAGGCCTCGACGAACAACCAGTTGTTTTTTTGTCAAGACTGCACCAACTGTGACCTTTGTGCCAGTTACTGTTATTCCTCCTACTCCTTCTCCTTCACCGAGCCCTTCAAGGTCTGTGTTTGCATCTGTCTGGCCTTCTTCATTGTGCCGGGACTCCTGTGGTACTTCTGTAGAATAATCAGGCAACATAAGGGAAAGTCCATGATGAAATAAACATTTTGTGTTCATCATTAAAGTCATTATATACCGTATACAGAAAGTACCTTCAGTGCAGCCCTTATTTTCCATAGCATAAGATTCATCTTTGGTCTGAGGGGCTTGTACACCTGCTCTGATCAAGGCCTGAAAATAAGAAAATAAAAATAAAAATTAGCATATCAAAATAAACTATATAGATGTGGGTAAAGAAAATTGACCCACCTCGTGAGTGGCTTTTTTCCAGTCCAGTTTGCAAATGAGGGTGACAAAGAACAAAGATTGCATGAAGGCACACACAAAAAATCCAGTCCACAAACCTAGCAAGAGAGAACAAGAGGAAAGTCATGGAGGCGTTCAGTGTGGCACCTGAGATTAATCCTTCAAATAGTTCAACACTTTCAAGTCATTTACCAATTATGCCCAAACTGAGAGCAAACATCAGAGACACTCCAATTGGAAATCCCACAAAATAATATCCTATAATGTTACAAAGAGCACCAAGCAGCTGCTTTCCAGCACCTCTGACAATTCCACCTGTAATGCCCTACAGAAAAAAAAACCTAAGTATTATCAACAGGATGTTATCAGACATTCTCAATATCTTAAGTGAATATCTTAAATAAAAAAAATTAAATAGAAAGAAACTGAAATTGAAATATCACACATTTTATGCTCTAAGCTTTATTAAATTTTTTCTATTATTAAAACTCACTAAATTTTGTTTAGATTATTAAAAAAAAACATATTTTGGGTAAGATTTAAGAAGAAAATAATACACTAAACTTAGTTTAGGATGCATTCTACATATATTATGCATTTTTTGTTACTCAAAGTAAAAGTATACTATTTTACAGATGATTATGTATTTATTCATTTTTTTTTTGTGTAATGTACAGGAAATCCACTTAAGAAAGGACAGAAGTGTTATTGAAAATGGGATTTGATTTTGATTTTAAAAATCAAATTCTCTCTCTCAAGAATAAACAAACAGAAAGATTACAATTTGGTCAAAACAAAGAAAAAATCAATCACAAGCCTACCGCAATGGCATCAAATATATGAAAGAAGCTGTACATGACCATGACCTCTGATACTCTGAGCACTATTTCCCTTTGAGAGAGAGAGAGAGAGAGAGAGAGAGGATACCGTACATGTAAAATTGTATTATGTTAAAATCTTAACAGAACACTAGATTATTTCTTATTCTACTTACTCTTCTGTGGTAAAGACGTATCCGATAATATCACTGGTACTTCCAATAAAGGTTGCGACTATACAAGAAGCAAGTACTAGAAAACAACACCAGAGAAACCAGAAGAGTTTAGCTCCAACCTTAACTAAACATACCTGAACCAGCTAATCAAGGTCTTCAGGGTCACTAGAAACTTCCAGGCAGGTGTTTTGGAGCTGTTTGGAGCTACACTCTGCAGGACAGTGGCCCTCCAGGACCAAAGTTTGACTCATGTGCACTAGTTTCTGGAAATGTGAGGAATGGTCAATTTCCACTTGAGCACGGTTTGGTGTGATTACGGTCAGACTTCTCAGCACGGTAACTAAAGCCACTTTTTCACCATTTTCACCACATTTTCAAACCATTCCAAGCACAGTAAAGAAAGTTTCTAATTGCTTGGAAGGATTACAAACCATTACTGGAATTCTCGGCCTTAACAGTGGTCAACCATGCTTGTGGATCTCTAGTGAATTGAGGACATGATTGTTTACAACCCAGTGAATACAACATACATGACTCATATAAAACTATGCCAATAAACGTAGGCCTATAGCTAAGAGAATATTTACCTTTCTATCCACCTTTTTCCAAGCCTTCTTCATTTAAAACAATGTTCTATTATAAATCAATTGTTTTAAATGATGGCAGACACCTCTGGTTAGGGAATGTTCCACTCAAAAAAAAAAAAAAAGATAATTTCAAGTCATAAAGTTGCGCTACAAATAATCCTAATCCATCGGATTGATGATCCTCCTGATTATATTTTTATTCATGGTATGTTAAAAGTGATTTGTTAAAGCTTTTAATTTTAAATTCCCTTTTAATGTTTAATGGTTGAAGGGTGAGTAGAATAATGTTACCTCATTGCACCCAGTTTCTGAAAATGCTTATTCATAGAGCGAATATTTCACTGATTGTTTACAATTTAACAAAGTTACTTCTATAATGGGATTGAAGGAAAAAGGTGGATATGCTGCTTCTCCATACAGCTTTCTCCATTGTTTACATACAGTATCATGCTGTCGACTGGTCACCAAGGTAACATACATTCTAATCCTGTTTTGAAAAAGTAATCATGCTGCATAAAAGTTTTTAGTTTAGTTGTTCACATACGTCCACAGACTAAAGACACTTTGGCAGACAATTTGGCTTGTTCTGGGTTTCCAGCTCCAAGTGCATTTCCCACCCTCACAGTGGCTGCTATTACAAATCCCATTGGAAACTGAAAAGTGAGAATAATAAATATATAAATGACAAAACAAACAAACAAAAAACCTACTTCTAAGTGATTCAAATATCATTTTTCACAGATGTTCAGAAACAGAACTTGTTGCTGAAACAGTTTTTCTTTTGATATGTTCGACTTCGCTTTATTTCAACATCAATGATTTTTATCACATTTTTACTTAAAAGAAAGACTGACTAATTTTATATGCACTTTGGACTAAATTTATTCTCAATTGTATGATAGATTAAGGCTGTGGCAGCAACTGTTACAGATGTTTGACCTCACACAACCCCCTTTCTTACAATAAAAATTTTTTCTTACAATTTTTTATTGTATTGTTTTATTGTTTTATTGTCTTTCCCATAAGCAATTGATGTTTTATGCTTTTCACTTCTGGGGATTTTGATAAAACATTTAAACGTCTTGTGAATTGTCCAGTGTGCAAAAATTCAATACACAAAATACGATTTATTGCTGTCACCAACTGATGTGTCTGTTTTACCACCCAGGCAGAAGATAACAGAATACTATTGCTAATGGAACATAATACTCTAAACATCTAAAAAGAGTGAATGTGACATAACAAAACTGTACACATCTTAGTTTAACAGTTCTGTCATGGATTCCAGTTTCAATTATCGTTTATAAAAATGTAAGACTAATATCTTGACACATTGACCAACAAACAACTGGTGCTGTTGGGTCTGAGAACACCCTAAAGCCAGTATAGGTGTACATTTTTCTAAAAACAAAGAAACATTTGAAAAACATACCATAAACGCAATAGTAGCCAGCTGATACACAACAGACTGGGCTCCCAGCTCAGCCTCACTGATGATTCCTACAATGAACAACTAATGTAGTCATGACAAACGAAATTTAATTGCATAAAAACACAGATAGTTTGCAAACCTGCCAGGAATCCACCAATCTCATATGCCCACCACTGCACACAAAGCATGAGCATGCTGGGAAGAGCCAAGCTACTGAATGGACCCCATTCTTGCAGACAATCACAAGACCAGCCTAATGTGACACAGAAAGAGATGTAACAGATGGAGACCAACAGAAGTGTCTGTAACACTTTAGTTTAGGGACCAATTCTCACTATTAATTAGTTGCTTATTAGCATGCATATGAGCTGTTTATTAGTACTTATAAAGCACATATTAAAGGGGTCAAATGATGCGATTTCAAGCTTTCCTTTCTCTTTGGAGTGTTACAAGCTAAAGTTGCAAAGACTAAAGTCTCAAACCCAAAGAGATATTCTTTATAAAAGTTAAGAGTCGTCCACGCTCTCCTAAAACGCCTCGTTCAAACACCCCCACATGTCTACGTCACTGTGTGGGAATATTTGCATAACACGCCCAAATGTTCACGCAAAGAAATGGATGGAAGGCGTAACTTTATTGTTGCTGCCACGTACCGCCGCCGCCATGTTGTGTTGACGCTGTGTGTTTCGTTGTTAAAGCGAAAATACTTTGTTTGGCCTTCCAAAAAAGGACACGACTAGAAATCCGTGGTTAAGTTGTATTTACAACACTGTGCCAGAACAGTTCAACCCAAATATTCAGATGTGTGCAGCGCATTTTATGGAGGACTGTTTCCTGATCCTGGTAGACTACAGTGCCGGCTGTTCTGACTCACAGTCTGCAAGTACGTTTTCATATTTAAAGAATTTACCACTGACGATTCAAACGCGAGTTTTGAGCAGTGTAGAGTAACGCTTGTTGTTTGTCATTTCTCCAATCACAAATGCAGACATGGTTTTATGTTTACGCGGCAAAATGCAATGCAAAGTTGTAAAAAAACAGTATAAGTCATTATAATCCGTAATTATGTCCCCACTGGATGCAACAAATGCCTCGTTTATAATGGGTTTTATTGGTTTTGTCTCGTCGCGCCGGGACACAGCATCACAGTATGGTAAGGGGCGTAACATTTCCGTCACACGCTTGAGGTATTCGGCCAATCACAATGCACTGGATAGCTGGCCAATCAGAGCACACCTCGCTTTTTAGACGAGCTTTGTAAAAATGTACGCGTTTCAGAAAGGCGAGGCATAGAGGAGAAACAGTAATGTACAGTATGTGGAAAATAATGTGTTTTTGAACCTTAAACCGCATAAAACACATTTCATTACACCAAATACACAAAATAATGTTCTTTTTAGCAACATTATATGACACCTTTAATGTCTTATTCTGTATGACCATATTTTAGATCCATTAATCCTACCCTATACCGAAACATAACAACTGTCTGTTGAGGCAAAAGTCATAGTTAATAGTCAGTTAATAGAGAAGATTGGTCCCCAAACTAAAGTGTGACCGAACTGTCTATAGATGGCACTATAATTGATAGTTCCATTAGTTTACTATATTGACAAGTGTTGAGCTGGTGATCGGGAAAGACAATATTTATCAAGGATATCTGAAGCTATCAGCATGCTTATCAGCAAATGCAATATGCTTTTATCACACATATCACAGCAAATATCACATGACTCATCAGAAACATTTCAATGAACTTTCCTCCACACCATCTTAACGAGTCACATAGTAAACTGTTTTCTGGTTAAATATTGAAAAAGAAAACAACATACTTTGCACAGGACATGTTACATATTCTTCTTTTACAAGTCATACACTAAGATGGATGGATGGATGGATGGATAGATACTCACCGGCCCATGTGTTTTTATGCAGGCCCTTCCATCGAATATAAAAAAAGAGAAACACAGCCAAGGAATACTGGGAAATGGTGTTTGCAGCAGCAGATCCTCTGATAGTTAATAAGAAAGTCCAGTTAATCATTTTGACTGTAAATAACCAAATCTAACTGAAGTTTAAATAAATAAAAGAAGTTTGCACTTTTCTCTATTCCCTCACACTGAATAAAGGCAACATACCAAGTCCCTAAATAAGATATAATCAAAATCAAAATGCTTACGCCACACCAAGATCAAGCAGATGAAGAAAGATGTAGTTTATTAAAGCATTGAGGACATTTCCTGCAGCTCCTGTGATGACCTGAGGCCAAATAATACCCTAAACAAACAGAGAAAAGCAGACTCATGAACTAGGCTACATGAACAAACAAGGTCAAGCAAAAGAAGAAGAAAGAACGCAAAAGAAGAAGAAAGAAAGATCTTCAGCAACAGAGCCCTGACCTGATTTTGAAGATACCTTCCCTGCAGTTGATAGACAAATGCAGCCTGAGGATGGTAACAAAGACAGTGAAAAGCATAATTGGATGGAAAAATAAACTTTCTTATGCTTATTTCACACTTCCACATTGTTACTTACATTGAAGAATAGTTTTTTTCCACTTACATTGTGGAATAGTTCTTTATAGTTTTATTTTGCAGGCTCATATATTTAAACAGATTAATTTAAAGTAATGTGTCACTTACAGGCAGAGCAGGCATGAATATTTTTACATAGAGTTGTGACAGACTGTTGAGAGAGGGAAGTAATAACACACTGTTAAAGAAACTTCATTGACAGGACTGTAGGTCCATGCGAATGTCACATGACCAAATGTGACCCTGGACCACAAAACCAGCCTTAAGTCGCTGGGGTATATTTTTAGCAATAGCCAAAAAACCATTGTATGAGACAAAATTATCGATTTTTCTTTTATGCCAAAACTCATAAGGATATTACAGTTTTTTTTCAATTGCTAACATCCCTTTGTCCAATCTATAATCACATTTTCAAAACTCTAAACACAATTAGCAAAACATCCGTCTGTTGTGACCATACCATTAACACAATTCATGTTGTTTTCACACAATATTCAGTCAATTAACATGTTTCTAAACTGCTTAAATTTTCTTTTCACAAAAGTTTACCCCATACCAAAATCATGGATCATTCTTATCTTTTTATTTTTTTTTATTATTATTATTTTTTTTTACAAATGCTTAAACACAGCATGACAGAAATGAAGACCTAATGTTCCAAACTTTAAATATAGTGTAAAGCCTCTACTTCTGCAACAAAAGAGCTGATAAGAATTATTTTAATTACTGATAATTGAGCTAA